AATGAGTATACACCAGAAATCAAAGGAAATAATAATAATAATATTCGTAATAATCTAAAAAAAAAACTATCAAAATACAAGCATCTTGAAGTGGAAATCTCAAAAATGTGGCAGGTGAGGACATCAATAATTCCAGTTGTAGTAGGAGCACTCGGATTCATTGGAAAAGGTTCCGATAGAATAATTAAAGAAATTCCTGATAGCCTATGCCTTAAAGAAATACAAAACATTGTAATCATCATTACATGAAAAAATTATCGATTTAAAATGGGTGTGATCGTTGTTTTTTTTACAAAAAAATGATCAGTAGAAAATGTCATTAAGTCATTTCTAATCTTAGATCTCTGGTTTTGACCCGGAAAGAAATTTGTTACAACAGAAATACAAAGAAATAATAATAATAATAATAATAATAATAATAATAATAATAAAATAATAATAATAATAATAATAAAAATAATGTGGCATATGGGAACATCAACAATCCCTGTTGTAGTTGGACTGGTTGGAAAAGATTTCAGTAGATTAATTGAAGTGATTCTTGGAAGTCCATGCTTCAAGGAGATACAAAAAATTGTTCTCACAATTACAGCCCACACTTTACAAAGGGCTTTCTCTATGTATTTTTTTTTATGTCAGTGGAAAGTGTCATGATGCCATTTCTAACCTTAGGTCCCTGGGCGGGACCCGGAAAGAAATGTGTAAACGCCAGAAATCAAAGGAAATAAAAACAACAACAACAACAACAACATCAACAATAATAATAATAATAATAATAATAATAATAATAATGATAATGATAATAATAATAATCGAATGATGATGATGATAATAATAATGATAATAATGATAATAATAATAATAATAATAATAATAATAATAATAATGATGATGATGATAATAATAATGATAACAATAATGTTAAAAATAATAATAATAATAATAATAATAATAATAATAATAATAAAGGCATAATATAATGGGAGCTGGAATTGGTATTATTTCATAGTTTGGAAAATTCGATTAATTTTTGATGGCCTGCGAATTTAAACTAAATTAATTTTCAAAATGTTTCATTTAGTTTGAAATGTATGAAATACAATAGAAAAACCGACATATTTGTTTATAAAATAAATAGGTCTGTTATATAAATTCAATCATATTTTCAAGATAGTGGGAATAAAGAATTTGAAACATTTAAAAAAAAGAATTATCATTTTTTTTATGAAGATGGAGTCATTCCTCACTTAACGACTAGATTCCGTCCTAATGAGCAGGTCACTAAATGAGAAGTTGTACCAAACCGCTATTTCAGGCATTCTACGGATACAACTAGTTTTTGTCAGCGTGCTTTAAATATCACTTTTGTAACATTTGTAACATTTCCAATTTATTTTTACATGTTTATATATAATAAGAATATTTTTACATGTTTATTTTATATATAAAGTACAGAATGTGCGTGCGGGGGTCCAGGCAACTTTTCCGCTTCCACTGGTCCGATTTCAATGATTCATAGCTCATTCAAAAGCCCTAGAAATGTAAGGCACAGGAAACGATTTTCGTTGAGCTCAGAATCGGGGTTGCTAGATAATTCGAGGTTAAAAGTATATATTAATATATTATACTAGCCATTATAGTTGCTTTTATAATTCAAGGAGAGTAACACTTATTTTCCTTTTTTTATCCTAAATTGCAGCTAGCTTAAAAGTTTTAGCTGGCCAGAATTTTAAGCTAGCTTAAAAGCCGCCCTATTGAGTAGCATTTAAGCTAACTCCCGTGGAGAACTGTTGATTTGGCCATCATCATAATAGCTAGGGAGGAGTAGATGCAATAGACAATTAATAAACTACAGAAGAACTCATAATTGATCGCTGCATTACAGTATTGAATTAATGTTTAAACTAACCTTTTAAAGTCCAACGACAATTCTTCTGCTGCCACTTAATTTAAAGACGATTTGATATACATAGATCCTTATTTTCCGTACAAACAATTATTTTTATTTCATGGGTGACAAAACAGGGGACAATTTAAAAGATAAAATTAATATAGTGTAAAGATGGGAAAACAGAAATTACAATTAGTTATACATTCAACATTTGAAGAGTTAGAGAATCATAAAACCTAATTAAGTAAAACCCGTATTCTGGAATCTATATGAATAAATGTCGATCAGTTGGCAGTGAGAATAATAACGGTTATATTTTATGAGAATGTTTTAGTCTAGATATTCAATGACCAATTTATAAAAGTTGATGAGCATTAAATATAAATAAGGCAACATCATTAAGTTATTCAGACTGTTATCCTCATCTTCATTGCCATATTCACAATATTTCGGCCGTCGTACGCTCCTGCCTTCTTCAGGTAATTGGAGTTTCGAACGGAACCCTTTATTTCGTCTACCGGGGTAGATTTTTCTAGTTCGTAAACTTAAGGAATCAACACATATGCTAGGCCACAGAAATCTCCTTAGCCGACCAGGCATAGAAATGAATACAATATGGGAACTAGTAATAAGGAGTGCTAGAGAAAAGTAATGAATAAAATCAACAGATTGCAATATAAACTCTGGTAAAAATGCAATAATAATAACAGAAAATTAGCAATATGAGCACTGGTAAAAAATGATTGCAGAAGCATTAGTCTTATAAGTCCAAAAGATTCATACACAGATGTCCTCAAGAACACACGGCGCAGTGGATAAAGACAGTAGTTAGATCCAGTGACAGGACCCCAAAAGTTGTGAGTTCAATACCAGGCCACAGCAGCGATGAAACAAAACTTGCAGAGTTGAATGAAAGGAAAGTAAGTAAGACATCCGGAAGAGGCATGGTACCTGGAACCAGAACAATCTACCGCGGTGGAGGAAGCAGTCCGAATAATGCAAGTCATTTAATTAAGTTTACGACGTAAAACTGTTGGTACATGAGGGAATCGAAACTTTTTATGGGCATCGTTGAAATAATATTGGACACATAGATCACACCATCAAAAGCAATATACGTTTATTAATATGAATATAAGTAAAACTTTACTGACTTTATAGGTAAATATTGGTGGGGTCGGTAATGGAGTGTATAAATAAAAAATGATCGATGTTATGATTGAATCTGTTTGGTTGCTTTTGTTTAGCGGCATATCAAATTATAATAGTTCAAATCTTACTAATTAACCCATAGCTGAGGGGAGAGAAGAGATAAATTCCTGCCTTTTCTAAAGCGCGGAACTAAATGTAACGAACACAACTAAAATTGGAACTCGGTTCTCCGATTAACAAGTCCGAGTCATTATCCATTACACCACCCACACATCCAACATTCCTGAGCAGTCGCCCATGTAGGTACTGACCAGGCTCAATGTTGCTTAATTTCGGTGATCGTGCGAGAACCTGTATTTTAACGTGTAAGCCTAAACTTGTTTCTATAAGCAAACCTTCGCCGGCGCTATACATGAGACTATATGTAAACATCAGTCGGCTCAGTACCTGAGTATATAGATAAAATATCCGTCAGTTTATATTTGAATCTATATGTAAAACAAGATCCAGTTTATATTTGAATTGATAAACAAACCTTCGACGAAGCTATACATAAGTCTATAAGTAAACATTAGTCGATTGTATACTTGAAACATTCGGTTAACTTTGGTCGGGTTTATTTTTGACTCGATAGGTAAAGATTTCTTGTGTTTATACTTGAGACTTTTGCTAAATATTGATCATAAGCATACGGGAGTCAATAGATAAACAGCTTTATAGTTGCATATATAGGGAAATATTAGTCGAGTTTATTGATATGTCTGCAAGCATTTACTCAGAATTTGAAATCCTTTGTAGGTGTCTTACTCATTTGCAATAGATGCAATTGGCATATTGCAAGCTGCATTGACATAGCAAACATGGCAATGGTTGTAATAGTCTGTTAAATGATGGCGTCATGTTATCAAGTCTTTGCGTTAAAAACATTTTACAATTTCATATGGAATATATTTATATAAAAGATAGAAAGCAACTGATTGATATTCAATCAGCCAAACTGATATCTACATAAAATAAAATGCCTCTTTTTGATGACTGTTTATAACTACGGAAAATAAATTTGCGATTATTTGCAAGTGGATCTCACATGAAATTGCGTATATGGGGAGTTAATTCAAATAGAATAGTTCTATGTTAAATATAGCGAAGTAATTTCGATGTAACATTTCGGTCGTCTTTTAAAAGACTTCCAGCAACATTAATCTGCATTCCCTTAATTTTATCGTCTCTCATTCGCAGCTCGTGTCTTGAGTTGCCCATCTTACTAACGTTACTTTTTTCGTATTACAATCGATAGTTAGTCCTTTCTTCTCGCTTTCCTTTAGTACCTTGTCTAGGAGTTACTGCAGTTTTCTTTCTACGTCTAGCATCAACAGTGACATGTGCATATCTTATATTGTTAAAATGGTTCCAACTAATATTAAATCCTGATAGGACTCCGAGTTCTTTCAAGATAAACCCGATAAGAAGACGTAACCCTGACTTACGCTTTTCTATTTTTGATTTACTTTCTCAATTCATTTTCTATTCAAATCACCCTCCTCTAAGTATTTAAAGGATTTCGTGCGTTAGTGCCAGAAAGGTTTGAAACATAACAAGGAGAATACAATGTATGTATTTTCTATTTTTCCCTGTGTTGATTCAATTTTCTGACATTTCTTTTAGCGAAATGTTCTTATTTAAGTGTCTGATATGCATCATCGGTATGACGGGAGGCGCAAGGGGAGGTAGGCGGTTTACTGAAAATCGTTCACTGGAAATAATCGAGCTTTGGCGGCAAACCAATTTTGGTATCGCCTCAAAGAAAGAAAGTAGGGAATACCATTTTGAAAAGTAAAAAAGGAAAGGCAAAAGCGAAAAAGAAAAAAACCAAAAACGAAGCGGGTAAAAGAGCACTGAAAAGAAGAAGCAAGAAAGAGAATAGAAAGAAGAAAGAAAATTGAAGGAAAAAAGAGAATTAAAAGAAGAAAGAAAAGGTGAAAACGAATGAAGAGAAAAGAGGAAAAAACAAACAATTTAAAAAAAAAAGAGGATTGAATGAAGTGATCGTCGAAGAAGAAAGAGAATCGAAAGTAGAAAGAAAATTGAAGGAAAAAGAACAAAGAGAATTAGAAGAAGAAAGAAAAGTGAAAAAGAATGAGGAGAAAAGAGGAAGAAATATACTGAATTGAAAAAAAAGTGGACTGAATGAAGTGATCGTCGAAGAAGAAAGAGAATTAAAAAAAAAGAGGAAGAAACAAAATGAAGAGGAAAAAGAAGCAAATGTCGAAAAAAGAGAATTCAAAGAAAATGATTGAAAGAAAAAGACAGAAAAAAACTGAATGGAGAAGAAACAGGAAGTTAAAAAAAAAAAAAAAAAAAAACAAAATGAAAAGAAAAAGCGGTAAAAAGAAAAAAAAGAAAGAGAAATAAAAGTAGAAAACTACTCAAAAAGGAAATGAAAAGATGACGTCATTGACTTGACAAAGAAAAAAGACGATTGAAAGAAGAAAGAAAACGAAAAAAAAAAAAAAGAAAGAGAATGATTTTATTTCAATCCTCTGACCAATTATAACTTTATTTCAAAATATGACAAAAATCAAAAATACAATTAAAAGACGAAAAAGAATTCAAATATATCATTTAAAGACGAATAGAAATAAAAATGAAAAAGTAAAAAGAATAACAGAAGAAAAGACAATAAGGAAAAAGATTGAAAGAAAACTTTTTTTTACGTTTTTTTACGAAATATTCAACCAATCGAAAGCCTATGAGCCACTCAAGGCAGAAGGTTAATGATTGAGGTTGTTGCGCGTAAGAAGAGGAGGTAAGAACTGAAATTTAAGAGGATTTGTGGAACGGCTGACCCTAGAATTAAAAAGGTTAAGAGCCACTCAAGGTAGAGTGTTACTAAATGTGGTTTTTGCATGAACGTAAGAAGTTCAGTTTAAGATGATAATGAAGCAAAGATAAAGGGAGGAAGAGGATGAACAGAAGAAGAAGAAGAAGGGGAAGAAAAGGAGGAGGAGAAGAAAAGGAGGAGGAGGAGAAAAGGATGAAGAGGATGAACAGAAGAAGAAGAAGAAGGGGAAGAAAAGGAGGAAGAGGATGAACAGAAGAAGAAGAAGGGGAAGAAAAAGGAGAAGCAGGAGAAGAAAGGGAGGAGGAGGATGTACAGAAGAAGGAGGAGGAGGATGAAAAGAAGAAGAAGAAGAAGAGGATGAGGAGGAGGAGGAGGAGGAGGAAGAAAAGGAGGAGGAGAAGTAGAAAAAGAGGAGAAAGAGGAGGATGAAAAGAAGAAGAAGAAGAAAAAGAAGAAAAAAGAAGAAGAAGAAGAAGAAAGGAAAAGAAGAAGAGGAAGAAAAAGAAGGTGGAGAAGAAGAAAGGGAGGAGGAGGATGAACAGAAGAAGAAGAAGAGGAAGAAAAAGGAGGAGGGGAGGAAGAAAAGGAGGATGAGAAGCAGAAGAAGAAGAAGAAGAAGAAGAGGAGGAAGAAAAAGGAGGATGAGAAGAAGAAAATGGTGAAGGAAGAAAGAAGAAGGTGGGGAAGGAGGAGAAAAAGATGACGAAGGATGAAAAAAAGATGAAGTATTGAATGAGGTTGAAGAAAAGTTTAAAAGTGGATGTGAAATGTAATGTAAACCGAAGACAAAAGTCTTTTATAGAATGATTTTGGAGCCGAAGGAAAAGCCGTGACTTTCAAGGTAATTATAATCTTGGTGCAACACAATCTTATTCATATTCGACATTTGCCTCTAATGTCTTACAGATTTGAAAGAAATCAAAACTAAATAAACCGCGAATGAATCGAACAGAAATAGAAAGCCAAAAAAGAAATGAAAAAGAAACAAAAAAAAGAAATCGAAAATGACGAGGTACAACGATTAAGACGATGCCAATGTCGAAGAAAAGAAGAAAAACAATAAATTACCATTTTTCGAGTCGACGTTTGCTTTGAATTGTTTCGTAAAAGTTTGACATGACGTATCAATTGGTCTAGACAAAGAAAAGCGCTATGAACCGAATGGAATATTCAATGAATTCGGTGAACGTCCGCTGAAAATGTTACACAAATGCCCGTTTGCTGTTTTTGTCACTGTTACTATTGGTTGGTCAAATGGACATTGATGGAAGAACGAGACGGAAATAACACATATCACGTCTCGCCATCTTGTCTAGCATGAGCTTCCTTTGCTGCTGACTCTTCCTTTCGTTCAAGGAGAGATTTCTGACGTTCTATTATTTCACTCCAAGATGTCTGTCTTTTTTTCAGGATTAGACAAGCATTCTTCAATTTGTTAACGCCATGTTTTTTTTTCTTCAGTTTTCTATTTGCCTTTTCGCATTTTATTTGTTTCTATTTCTTTTATCTTTTCCTCAATTCATTCCTGCAATCTCGTATGGGCAGATATTTATGAGAAGTGTCAAAAGTCTACAGCTAAAAAGCGGTTTCCAACTGTCTTTTCTGCAAGTAGTTGTCCAAATAGAGAGCTGGAAAATATGGCTCGGCCCTAAAATTTCTGTGACTTATGCGAATCGTAAATTAATTTTCTGGTCTTGAAAATCATTTTCCAGAGTTTTTTATTGTTTTTTAACAAACCCTCTAAAATTGGTATCGGTAAGAAATGAGCAAGCAGCTGAGGAGTCGAGTAGTTCATATCTATCTATCTATCTATCTATCTATCTATCTATCTATCTATCTATCTATCTATCTGTGTATGTGTGTATCTATCTATCTATCTATCTATCTATCTATCTATCTATCTATCTATCTATCTGTGTATGTGTCTATCTATCTATCTATCTATCTATCTATCTATCTATCTATCTATCTATGTGTGTATCTATCTATCTATCTATCTATCTATCTATCTATCTATTTATCTATCTATCTGTGTATCTATCTATCTATCTATCTATCTATCTATCTATCTATCTATCTATCACAGTCTGTTCATTATCTATCTATCTATCTATCTCAGTTTGTACATATCTATCTATCTGTGTATGTATGTATGTATGTATGTATGTATGATCTATCTATCATAGTCTGTTCATCTCTCTCTCTCTCTCTCTCTATCTATCTATCTATCTGTGTATGTATGTATCTATCAATCTATCTATCTATCTATCACAGTCTGTTCATATCTATCTATCTATCTATCTATCTATCTATCTCAGTTTGTACATATCTATCTATCTATCTATCTATCTATCTATCTATCTATCTATCTATCTATGTCTATCTCTGTCTGTCTGTCTGTCTGTGTGTCTGTCCCTCTCTCTCTCTCTTTATCCACTGTGCCATGTGCCCTTAAGGACACATGTCAGAGTGGATAAAGGCGTTGCTTAGATCCAGTGACAGGACCCAAAGATTTGTGAGTTCAATACCTGGTTAATGCAGTGGAGAACTTTGAAAGGGGAATTAACAGGATATAACTGATAACTGACATCCATTAGACATGACACTAGAACAGTCTGTCCCAAGCGAGCGAAATATTTCAACCACCTGAAGAAGGCCGGAGCGTACAATGGCCGAAACGTTGTAATAAATTTGGCAACACAGATGAGGACAATAGTCCGAATAATGTAAATAATTTACATAATACCTCATCTCCGAAATGCTGTGAGTTACGTCAAAAAAACTATATCACATCAGCAACATTTTATAAAATCCATTCTTAAAAAATATAACGTATGTTTATCTACAACAACCGGTAAAACTGTTCCTCATATTAACATACGGACAACCACCAAACAAAAATAATACCAACCAGATACACACATCAGTCAGTTATGGGACACGCGTGATACACGCTTAGTCGATCATGTATCTTTCGATAGATGACTGACGATGCAGAAGGCTGCTATTTCTTTCTGCGGTAGACCAGTTGCCATCCAAGGCTATAGAACCCGGTCTGTCCCGCTATTTACCCATAGCTGGGAGGAGAAGAAGAGAATTCATGCCTTTCCAAGAATATAATGGATTCGATTGGAATTCGAACTCGGCTCTCTCAATTCGAGCTAATATCCATTACTCCACCGTGCCCCCGTAGCCGCTATCCTTTACTCCACCGTGCCCGCCCCCTAGACACTATCATTTTACTCCACCGTGCCCCCTCGTCGCTATCCATTACTACACCGTACCCCCATAGCCGCCATCCTTTACTCCACCGCGCCCCCTAGCTGCTTTCCTTTACTCAAACGTGCCAGATCCACTTTTGATCTGTATTTGGTCCCAATTCATATATATATATATATATATATATATATATATATATATATATATATATATATATATAAGGAAAGAGAGGAGAGAAGAGGAGAGAGAGACGGTGTGCGATCAGCAAATTGTCGCCATTTTATATATTTAATTTGGTGCATGTAATTTGTAGGGTGATTTAGGCACCGTCATTAAGAAAAAGAGCGCTATGACGCAATTCAATCCACCAGAAATTTGGAAATGTGATGCTGTACTGCTTGGCATTCGCACCGGAAGCTCTAATATGAACATTTCAGACTTTTTAAGTGCAGAGGATTCACAGAGAGCTGGATGAGTCTAATGGTGATTACGATACGAAGATGTTCAGTGCTTTCTGCATTCTGTGGAAAGATTACCCTGGGCTCGATGAATTACAATATGATTATATATATATATATATATATATATATATATATATATATATATATATGTATATATATCATAATAATATATCCCGTTCTTCTCTAACAATTCTAAAATATTCGATAATTTCAATAGCAAATAAATAAATAAGTAAAGATAATGATTATTGAAGCTATTTGCATTCAACAAAAGGCAAGCAGGAATAACTATAGTCTCCAAGCCTGTATTGTTCAATGAATATAAATGAATTACATGTCATTACACGTGACTGATACATATTGCTGTGATGACTTCCGGCCTTTTTCATTTATAGGATTCTGTTTCAAATAAATGTAACAACACATTAAAAAAAGAAAAAAAAAAAAACGAACTATTTAAAACATTTTTGATTTTCTTGCTTCAGTTTACATTACTAAATAAATTGGTGAAAAATAAACTGAATGAGTATACACAACAAAATATATTGATTAAAAAAATGAATTGTTTAAGAAAAAATATACAGAAATATATATTTTTAAATCATTGATTAAAATAATTACTTGATTAAGAATATATATATATATATATATATATATATATATATATATATATATATATATATATACTGTGTAACCCGGATATAAGAGAGTTGTCGGGACCGGAGAAGAAGTCTCTTATATCCGGGTTTCTTATATCCCGCGTTTGGTCTAATTTATACACATTAACACAGGCTCTAATTTGGGACCAGAAAATCTCTCTTATATCCGGGTTTCTCTTATATCCGGGTTACACTGTATATATATATATATATATATATATATATATATATATATATATTTCCAGATAATCGTTCACTTGTTTCAATGGTCAGGAGAAGATGGAAGGTATTAGCCTTAAAGGAAGAAGATTTATGGATTTATAAAAATAAACACGGATATTAACCTGATAGTAACTTCATATAATCCCAATTTAATGTTATAAAATTAATATACTCTGGTTTGAAACATTAAAATGGATAAATTCTGTATTAATTTTTCAACAGCTGTCACACTTAAATTTCTAATTCCGATACGAAGCTTTTGCCGGTTTAAATAAATCTGTCCCCCATGTGAGTTAATTTTGGATTTTGTTGTATAATAGTGTTTATTGGCTCTGTAATAATAAATACATTGAACTCTTTTTGTGGATAAGTTTTAATATTTTATATTACATTTACTATATATATATTTCCCAAACGAGTATTACTATTAGTATATATATATATATATATATATATATATATATATATATATATATATATATATATATATAACAATAAAAAAAAATATTAAAAATTAAAATCTTCAGACACACTGGGTTGTAGATTAATATTCTTTCGATTTTTTTTTTATTATTATTTCATTTAGATTCCTCGACTAGTTTCGGCCAAAATGGCATCATATATATATATATATATATATATATATATATATATATATATATATATATATATATATATATATATATGCATTTTCATTAAAACGACAGACAAGGTACTATGGTTGAGCTTTTTATTTAATTTTTCTTGTGTTCTAACAAGTGCTTTCTTTTCTGGACAATGGGTGTGTAAGAACTGTCCAAATATTTTATATTTCCGAGCGCTTTCGGCTATACCTTTAGCCATTATCAAGGATGATTCGATTTTCAGCTTAATTGAGTGTGTGCGTTTTGTGTATGTATCAGTGTGTGGTAGGGATGTTTTTAATTTCCGAATACGCTTAGCACATTGTGGCCTTGTTCGTAGTTAATATTGTTAAGAGTTGACTTTTTCTTTTTTATTATTAAAGCTTCCATTATTTTTAGTCTTTTTTTGCAAGTGGATGCAATTAATATATTTGTGTTTTCTACTAGTATATTCCTAATGCTGTCGGGTAAATCTGAGTGTGTGTTTAAATGGGTTCTGATGGAGCTGTGATCAGATAGGTGTAATAGTATAGGATAATGGCTAAAAAGTATAGCCGAAAGCGCTCGGAAATATAAAACATTCGGATTGTTCTTACACACCCTTTGTCCAGAAAAGAAAGCTTTTGTTCGAACACCAGAAAAATTAAATAAAAAGCTCAACCGCAGTACCTTGTCTGTCGTTTTAATGAAACATACATAAAGGAAGGATTGCTGCCTAAATATACAATATATATATATATATATATATATATATATATATATATATATATATATATATATACTAATAGTAATACTCGTTTGGTAAAAAACCTCAGATAGCTCAACTTGTAGATATGTCAAAACAAATCAGTAGTAGAGGAAAAAATTGGAAATAAATATGAAAGAACTATCCGGACAGGGCGAACTAAACTGACCAGTGCCTTAAAACGAAAGTTCAGAAAATAGTTCAACAGAAACATTGAAGAAATCTTGTAGAGTTATGGTAGGTCAGATACGAAGAATGGCAAGTTATACCTGTGACTTTAGTAAAGAAAACTGAGGCATCCTTTTCCAGGCACACCGAGGCAATTATTCAACTTAAGAGGCGTCATATATAATATTAACATCGCAAAATAACTTCCTATAATTAATTATG